TAGTCTTGAACAAATTCAGGAAGTTCTCAGGTATATCCTGAGTTCTTTTTCCCCAATAACTTTTGACAATATATAAATCATAATACTACTCAGTTTTACAAATTGTGATGAGATTTCTATTGCCTGACTGGATGCAGTACATTTATGTGCAGTGTGGCTGTAAATCTCCGTACACTCTGTAAATGCATAAGTTTATTTGAATGCAAATTTCATTGCTGAAAATTCACACCTTTGTTATGAATTTCGTAGTTCACTTTGGAAATCCAATCAATTAGCCATGATATTTACGCTCGTTAAGCTTATTTGGTGGAATTATTTATAAAAATTGAGCTTGGCGAGGTAGATTTGCTTAGTAATTCAAGCAAATATTTGGAGGATTATTTTGTCACTTTCCCTAGCTCTCAGTGATGAGATAGAGGAATAAAACTTTCTCCTGACATAGTCAGCTTTTCCCAAAAGAGAATCAGTGTCAGCTAGGGACCAATGCCTCACCTTCTCTTAGATGCCTGACATCAAAACATTTGGTCAGCAGTCCTCTAAGAATAAACCCAAACTAGATACCTTTCACCTTGTGCTCTCTGATTAATTTACTTATTTGAATGAACATTATATTAAGTTACCCAAATGTACTCTCACATAGTCCTTAGGTAAGAATCTTAGTGAAATCCCACAGATGGACAAACGGAGGCAATGTTTGATGTGATGTGACACAGCAAATCACATGGCAAGGCCGCTAATAGCACAGAGAGATTCTAGGTTTGAGGGCTTTGCTTTAACAGTCAGATGAACTTATTTTCATTTTGCGAGCAAGACCAAATTTAGAAGTTCTGTCCCCTCTGAGCTCCTTCAGGGCTGCCACGGGAGATCTCCAGGGCTACGGTGAGGGTCACCAATACCCCTGAGCCCTCTATTTCTCCATCAGAAGTCTCTCTGCACTCTTTGGAAGTTTATGGTGAATGGCAAGGAGCCAGCCCCCACGGGCATGGGATGGAGGTGGCTTGTTCTCAAGTGTTTAAAAGTCTGACAAACTGTTTGCAGTTCTAGCAGGGATCAGCACATTTCTAGAATTAAAACCAACATCTTGGATAGCAAAAATGCCCTGAACAAGGACTCTTTCTTCAACCCAATGCACAAGGGACCTTTCTTTAGTAAGCTATAAAATTACTTACTATAAATCAATTATTTTTGTACTGATTTATTAGCTGCTCTCCAGCTGTTCAGATTGACACGTAAAAAAAAATTCCTGGATGGTCCTACTCAAATTTTCAAAAGCATTTTCTCTGGAGTACTGTTGGTCCAACCTCATTATAGTCATCCCTGGTAACCCACATATTCCTAAACATTCTTAAGCTGGCGAGGATGGAAGCACCAACCCACATGGAGTACCTCTGATCTTGTGGTGAAATGATCTTGACACGAGTTGTGTTGGGAACTCCTGTCTGGAGTTCTTTCAGAAGCCTCTCCTTGAAATCTTGGAAAAAAATTCAATGCGCCCGATGACAGCACGTTCCTTAGGATGTCAGACTGAATATGTTCATGACACTTGGTGATGCTCTGGAGGATCATCCTCCCAAACCCTGGTGCTGCGATTTCTGCCTCTGTGGGCACAAAAAGTGCTTCAGGAGCTCGGAACAGCTGGCCTCCTGCCTTAGCAGTCCTTGTGTTAGGGAGAAATGTACTTGCACAGAAGTTTTTCAGGCTTTTCCTGCGTATTTTGGCTAGGACCTAAAGCAACATAGCACAGCTTCTCCTTCCTATCCCCAACAATTTCTCCCTCTGCTGTGCTTACGAAGGAGTGCCTGGTCTCCAAGAGGAGCCTAGCAAGGTATTTGGTTTCCCCTCCACCTGCAAAATCCAGCCTGGTAATGCCAGGTAGCAGGCAACAGCCTTTGTAGACGGGGACTGTGTCGGTGACACCATTGCCACTGTCTGGCACCAGTCCGGTTGTCAGGGCACAGGCATACAGGGCTGTTAGCGCCTGCAGAGACACGAAAAGGGCAGGCACCTGGAAGCTTTCGAACATGGTCTCATTCATTTCTTCTCAGCGGGACAAAGGATTGAGAGGGGTCTCAGTCAGCAGTGCTGGCCTCTCACTCAGTTTCATTTTGAGTTCTTGTTTGTATAGGCATCTCCAACTCTTCTCCATGTCATCCCAGGATGTAACTACCTCATTTTCCATTGGGTAAGTAAAAGATAAAATGTCCCTTTTCAACTGGGCTTCTTCCCCAATATAGCAATCCTTATGACTCACCCCAAACATGACAAGTTTGAATTTGGGATATCCCACAACAGTAGAAATAACCAAATGGCGTGCCTGTTCCCCTGACAGACCAGCCTTACAGTGTCAGGCGCTGTCGAAAATCACCACTTGGGTTCCTGCCGTCGCCGTGTCAGACGTCCTGTGCAGGATGGTGCTGTCCCTGGCAGTGGCTGCTGGCACAGAGCATCGGTGAAACAGTCTAGATCCCCTAGTTGCAAATAAGCACCGCTCCACCGAGCTTGCAGTCCTCCACAGCTGCACCGGCAACGCTGCTTCCTCCAGGGAGCCGGCAGTGTGGAGCTTTTTGATTCAGGACTAGTACTTGGAAGTGAAATTGGGTGTTCTTACTTCCCAGATAAATTACAGCACAGAATCAATGGATTTTTTCAGACCCTCAGGCACAGAGGAGGGTCAGTTACAGTAATTGCATTTGCATTGATTTATATTTGGATTCTGTTTGGGGTTTTGCTAGGCTTCTAAAGGAAACATTTTCATGAGGTCAAAAATAAAGTGAGAGCTAGTTTTAGAATACAAACCCCAGATATCTCAAAGGCCTTAAAGGGAAGAATCTCCCAGCAGAGGAGGTGTGCTACTCCCCATATGACTCCAAGGCAGGCTGTGAGTCAGTTAAGGAGTTACTGCATCCCTGTGATATGTGCACACCTGTAAACTCTGCGGAGGGGAAGAGGAAGGGGAAGGGGAAGTGAGATGATAAACAACAAGGTCCTCGTTGCCAATGTTTTTAATGTTTTATTTTCATACAGGCTCTGTCAGCCAATAAATGCACAGACAGCTATAGCATGTTTTAGGTCAGTCAACTCTCAGCAGAGTTTTTTGTTCATGTGTTGCTGTACCAAGCCATTCTCTTGGTCTGATGTTCTCCTTAAAAGCATTTCTGGTGAATGACAACTGCCCCGAAATCCTTGTAATCGTTCACGGTGACCCACATTTATTTGAAAGATGTCAGGCAGGCGAGGATGGAGGCCCCAATCCACGCACAGTATTTTCTCTCAGGGGGTGCAACGATCCTCGCAGACATGCTAGCAGGCACTTGGAGCCTCATCTCCTTCAGGATCCGCTATTCCAGGCCAGGGAATAGCGTGGACCCACCTGAGAGCAGGATGTTGCCATAAAGATTCCTGCGCATGTCAAAGTCACACTTCATGATGCTGTTGAAGATTATTTTGTGCACAGCAGGAGGTTCAACTCCAATATTTGCAGGCACGAAGAGGGTCTCTGGTGCATGGAAGAGCTGGTTGCCTATCTGGATGATGTTGTTGTCACGCAATCTGTATTCTTTCATGATTTCTTCTGGCTTTGCTATCATTTCTTGGATGGGATCTGAAGCTACATAGCACAAATTTTCTTTGATATCTCTTACAATTTCCCTTTCAGTTGTGCTAACAAAAGTGTGTCCACTCTCCAAAAGAAGCTTCATCAAATATTCGGTGATATCCCGGCCAGCAACATCCAGCCTGGAGACTGCATGGGGTAAACAGTATCCTTCATATATGGGAACAGTGTGGGTAACACCATCCCAGCTGTCCATGACTATTCCAGTAATATGGGCCGATGCAGAGAGTGTCAGAATTGCCTGGACTGCGATGTACACAGCTGGCACCACGAAGCCTTGAAACATGAGCACTGTCACTTTTTCCCATTTCTGCAGAGGACTGAGGAGGGCTTCAGTCAGCAGCACTGGCCTTTCACTGGCTTTCATTCTTAGCTCATAGTCATAGATGTGTCTCCAGATTCTTTCCATATCATCCCAGCATGTAACTATAACACGGTCAATTAGATGATTCAAAGACAGGACCCCTCTTTTGGACTGACCTTCTCCTCCAATGTAACATTCTTTCTGTCCAGCTCCCAGCATTGTAGCTTTGACTTTTGAGTGACCAACAATTGCTGTAAAAACAGACCTTGGGCCACTGTCACCTGCGATAGCCACGTTGGATAACCCAGAGCCATTGTCAAAGATTACAGCCAGGACATCCTAAACATTGGGGTCAAACATTCTTCGCAGACTTGATGGTTCCCCAGAGTGGTGCCCCAGGACTCTGCCCATTCCCATTTTACGGGCTGCTCACCGTTGCTAGGGAAGTCTCCTTGGGGATGCACAGCTTGCCGTTGCCAACCTGTCTGCCCCCAACCACCTCAAAATGGCCAGTGATAACAATAATACATTTTCCCAGCAAGTTACCTGATCCCTGGCATTTCCCTGGGTACGGCCAGAGTAGCTTCACCATGACTCTAGTCAGAGGACTATCAATTCACTGTGTCTGATGCACAGGTCATGGACAACAAAAGTATCCCTGTAATGAGCCTGAGAGCATCTTTTTCCTCAGGATAGAAAAGCATGTATTGCAAAATGCATGACAACAATTACATTTTTTCATACGTGCCTCTGGCTTAGCTAAGACTCTTAGCTTAGACTAAATATTGCCAAGAGTTGGTGAAGATTAGGACAATTTTGCCTCCTTGCAAGTATTAACTGAATCACCAGTTTGCTTTTCTGAATAATGTCTGCACTGGGTGCAGCCTTTTTTCAACTGAATCCTTTCTGATCATTTATAGGAAACTCCTAAAAATATTTTAAAATAGTTAGAACTATAACACTGATTATGGCATTCTGGAATATTTTTCCCTGTCCTTGTTACTTAATTTAAAGAATATTTTTTGGTAAATTCGCAAAAGTGAAACAATAATTTCTGCCTCTTGCGGGTTTAAAACACACTGACAGCTTTAAACAATGCTTATAATACCTTCCAGTGCAAAGAAATTCCTTCTCGTAATGAATCTATATCCTAGGCTGCTGACAAGCTGACCTGCCTGCAAATAAACAGATGTGCAGATGTCTTCCTTCCATGCTTCCCTTTTCCATTCAGCACTTTGCTCAGAAGAACAAACTCTTCTTTGGAAGTCTGTTCAAAAAGGATTAAAAATATCCTAGATCTTCACAACCGATCCCCATTTCACATCTAATCATTGGGTTTTTTTTTTAAATTTTGCTTTGGGAGAAGATTTCCCAAAGAAGGAAATTTCTATAGCTTTGAATCCAATCAGATCTGACAATCCAAATCCATTTACAGAGAAAATTTCCTTAAAAAAAAAATAAATTCACTATATAACTTCAGTTTGAATCCTTGGCTGCCAGAGTTTAATTGCTTCTCCTTGTGGCTCTAAATCCAGGGCAGCTTCAAAGCAAGGGTGGCTTCTATTAAATTTAATTACTTTTTCCTGCAGCTCACATGGCAAAGGTGCCAGCTACTAAATGAAGGTGGTTATGAATCAGAGGCAGATTCCAAACAAAGATATATATTAAACAGAAATTTTAAGTGTAAGCAAATGACCTCCTTGTACAGAGATGTTTATACCCCAGATGAACTCCTAAAATAAAAAGCCGTCTAACAAGGGATCAGCTCTGTGTATGTTATTTCCATTCTGCTTAGATTCCAGACATGTTTGTGTTAAAAGCCACTCTATCCATTTTAGCAATTTCTCTAATCCTCTTAATATTTGTGTACATATATTTCAGTGTGTGGCACACTTGTTTTCATGCATGCTTCTATATTAATGTCAACAGGTGTCTTAATCGTTTAAGAGGTTGTTATATGCATCACACTAGAAGCCCCATTTAATCCTGCGTGGTCTGCATGCAGCTTACAGCAAAGCACTCCGTTTTGAACATGATGTCGAGTATTAAAACAACGGAATATTGACTGGGATGATTAAATGGCAGTTGAACCTAGATGCAGGAATGCTCATCTGTTCCCTCATATTGGTTCTGCCATAAATCACCTTAAAAAGGGCATGTATGAATTAATTTTGTTACTATAAGATTTGTAATAAGTGAAATTACGGTTTGAGTTTAGCTGAAGTACTGTAAATTGAACTCATAGAAGGGACAATATGAGACATTAACATTTTCTGGTGCTCACCTGGTGGTATAGCTTACGCTGATATGACAAGATCTCATTCAGGAATGGAAAGAGAGCTCATTTTCTGAGAGCCAGTCTGTCTTTGGCCTTTGACGTTTGCCAGGGGCTTCCAGCTGTGGAGAGGCACATGAGGGACAGGACTGAGACAGGCAAATCCGTTCCACACGAGCTTCTAATGTCTTGACTGGAGGGTATCCACTGTTTGTCACCTCTTCATGGGATGGAATATGAACTTGAAGCTGAGATAATAACGTAATAACGTAATTCCCACAACATACCAGACATAAACGAGCTCTGTCCCACAGACATTGGGTTGTAAAAATGCGTAGATATTTAAACACGTTGTTTACAGGCCAGTCTCGCTTGCTTTATGTCAGTGCTGAGCACACATTTTCACTTACCAGCTTACGCATGTCTTTTTGCTCTACTGACTGTGTCGCCTGCACAGAGTGATCCCCCCAGGTAAGCCAGGGCTTCTCCTTTCTCCGTCCTCTGTCCAAATACTTCTGGACACAAACATGTAACTCAGGGCAGATTCGGAGTGAATCAGGCCAGGCTGGAAAGCACCTAGAAAAGAGTCAGGAGCTGTGGAAGGTCTGACTTTACCTGGGGTAAAACCAGAGGGAAAAGGATCGGCTAACTCAGTCTGTATGCCCACATAAACCCCAAGGGCCTGACTAATGCGTAACATCTGTAGCAGCAGGGATAAATGTCTTTCCACATATAGAAAGCGTTACCAAAAGGAGAGACAAGTAGGACCAGACACTGAGGGAGAGATGCTTCTCTCCATGCCTTTCTACACCAGATTATTTTGATATCTTACCCATTTTTCCTTTGCATTTATGCGGGTCTTGTCATCCTCAGCTGACTGTTTTCTGGATGCAACCTCATTCCGAACAGGCACAGTACAGGACAGCAGTTGAGGCAATGAGATTACAGTACACTGAATACAGGTGAAATCCCAGAAATAATAATGCTTCATTAGAGAATCCTTTAATGAAACCCATGGAATCCTGATTTTTTCTCTTTCACAGAAAAAGGGGACAATTGCAAGGAATTTGTTCATTCCCCAAACTCATTCCACTGGGAGTCTTTCTCAGTTTCCTACAGGCAACTGATTTTGCTGGCTAACACAATTATTAGGAACTCTCAGACATGCAG